ACGTTTATGAGCACCATGTGTCTGTAATGATCCTTCTTACATACTTAATAGAATTTATTGTGAATCTATCTGCGCCTGCAGTTTTCTTTTTAAGAAGGTGTTTATTTATAATTAATTTCTTTTAAAGGCTAGAAGGCTATTTATATTTCCCATTTACTTCCATTTTATTTATGATAATTTGTATTTTCTAGGAAGTTAAACATTTCAACTACATTTTTCATTCTTGATATTGGTTAGTTGAGAAATCTCCATTTTCTTTTTTCAGTGAAACATACTAGAAGTTTACCTGAATTATTAATCCTACTAAAGAACGAGCCTCTGGCTATTCTACTTGTTATATGTTTGCTTTCTTTTATTAATTTCTGTTCTTATTTTTGTTATTTCCTTCCACATATATTCTTTTGGCTAAATTTGTTGTCAATTTTGTAATGTAATGTACATTTGTAATTACCCAAATTTAGTGATTGTATCAGAAATAATATTACTTTCTCACTTTCTAATATATTCATTTCAAGCTACAAAATTTTCTGCAAGCATTGCTTTCCACCCAGCGCACAAACTTTTATATAAGCAAACTCATTATTATTCAAAGCATAGTATTTTCTGATTGCTTTTGTGATTTTTTTCATTGACCTGTGGGTGATTTAGAAATATAATTATTAATATCCCGACCTATAAATTATTTTTCTAATTTTTTTTATTGATTTCTGGCTCAATTTCAGTCTGGGGTCGGAGAATATACTCTGAATTATTTCAATCCTTTGAAATTATTAGACATCATTAGGCCCAATATGTAAATTGTAATAAGTGTCTGGTGTGCAATTTTCACAGACTAGATTTGGTGAATGTAGTGTTTTTATTACACAGTTAGATCAGCAGTATTAATAGCGTATCACAATCTATCACTTTACTGGGTTTTCCCCCCCTTTGCTTATTCAATCAATTACATCCACACCCTCTAGTAGCCATAAATATTAATGCACTTTATAACGTTCTTGTGGGAAACCAACATTTGTCCGGTCAGTCGTGCGTGATTGCTCACAATTCTCTTTAATAATTGCCTGAATGTTTTGGAGGAGGAAAGAAACAGGGCAAATAACATGGAAAACTATATGAGTATATTTATGTTTTAAAATATAAAAATCACTCCTTCTTCAAGGAACGAAGATTCAGATTCTGTCCTTTTTTCCCTGTGGCCACAGCATTCAGGTCTGAGTGTACACCTGGCATAGCATCTATGTCCTCTTCTAAAGGGGAAGAGGCAGTAGGACTCCAGCATCATCACGTGACATTCCCCTTCCATCTCTGTTCATCTTTCTTTTCCTACCACCTGGAAGCAAAGTATCTTCCTTCCTTATGAATATATTTAAGGCTATACATTGTGCCTCTATGCATGGCTGTAGGTGTATCCTAAGTGTTTTCATAAGTCATATTTTCGTTGTCAGTTGAAATATTTTTCATTTTCTTTGTGATTTCTTCTATAACTCATAGGTGATTTAGGTTATTTAATGCCCCTTGAACTCTCACCATATTAGCTATTTTCTAAGTCTTTCAAGCATTTACTTTTCATATTTATCCAGTTTCTATCATGGTTCTGCATGGAGCTATCAGCCTTATAAAAACTATTTAATCTGGGTTATGGCTAGAAATTAAAATTTAAGTATGTTTTAGGTCTGTAAAATAAATGAATATGAATAAATTCTGTTAACCACACTACAGTATACACATAGCTTAATTCTTGGCACTTACAGAAAAGCTTTCAGAATATTTCTTGAAATTTTCTGTGTTTGAATCCAATATAGATAGCTCAGTGTAATTTTCATAATCAGAGTTTTGTGATACTGTATTTGAATGGCTTTAAGATAATTTATACCTTTTTATGTCCATATTAAAATATGGAATTAGAAAGACATCTTTGAGTATATTTCTTTTTATCAAGTTGTTCACTCATGGTGACTAGATTTTTCAAAACAGCCTTCCCTCTCCTAGGATAAGCCTAGAGGACTCCTGTCCCATGCAGACACCCATGCAATTACAAATGATGTGGGGACAAAAAGTGCTGCACAAAGGTACCTAAAACTGAAATTCTTTTTGTGATAATATATTTAATTGTGCCTGGTTTTGAGTTATTTACAGCTTTCTTGAGGTATAATTGATATACAAAAAACTGCACATAATTAATGTATGGAATTTGGTGAGTTTGGACTTCTGAACTGGAGTTGGAGAAAAATGCCTCTGTAAATTTCAAAATAAAAATCAGTTTGTCCATCAGTATAAGAAAATAAGTACTTATTCCCTATCTCTTATATGCCAGGAACTTGCAGGGATCCTATAGACATATTACTGCTGTATCCAGACAGCACAAAATGGAGCTTGACACGGTCACTCTAGTCACAGTGATTCTAAAATACAAAAGAATTTTATCTCAAATATTGTCCTTGTAACAGGCACTGTTCCAATAATTTTATAATAATTATTTCATTTATTGCAACAAACCTGTGAGTTGATCACTCTTATTATTGGTGGTGGCTCTTGTTGTTTGCCAGATGAGATAAAAGAGTGATTAATTTGCCCAAGATGAATTCCTCAGAGAGCAGTGCATCCTGGATTTGAACCCCTGATGCCTTATTCTAGACAATTGCTTTTAATTCGCCCTCCACCCCCCCCCCAGTAATGCCTAAATGTCAGACCTGAAGTAGGTGTGTGTGCTGGAGGAAACTGCTTGGAGACAAATGTGTCTCCTTTAAATATGGACACATGAGCCACTTGGGGCTGGGCCCAGCAGGCCTGAGATGTTTAGAATAAAAGACTGTGGGCATCTCTGGTTCTTTTCCACCCATGGCCATAGTCCACCTCATAACTAGTCTCCTGCCTGTCAGGCTTCTGTTACACTGCCTGGACTGTGTCTCAGCTCTGTCAGCCACCTCCCCCTTGTCATCTGTTCCCTGGTAACCAGGTTCTCAGCCCAGCCTGCTCAGGTGGAACACTACTTCCCTTTGTTCCACTTGGACACAATGCTGACCATCCAGGAGATCTCCTGCTATCCTGCACACCACTGTGTACACAAATTGGTCTCAGCCGGGTCCCAGACCTGGCGGCCCTCAGTGGTTTTTTGGGAAAAGAGGGCTCAGCTGAGCCAAATAACTGGAGACAGGATCAGATGTGTATTCTCAGAGTTGTGTGAAAGCAACATCAGTGCTCACATTTTAAAAAAATCAGGATAAGATTTTGAAGTATGATGGTCAGAGAAAATTCTCTGAGGATAGAGATTTGACTGGGATGGAAAATATTTGATTATTTCTCTCAAGATGCATTGCCTAATATTTCCAGTTATTCAATCTCAGATGATATTTAAAATCATGGGGTACAATTTTAGTTTCTAATAGTGAGCACGGAATATGTCATTGTAAAACGAGATGTGCTTCACTGTGAGATGGCAGGACACAAACATGATTGGGAGCCACACAGGCGGGGATCTGAAAGCAAATACTGTCCCACGCCAGCTGCATAGCTGGGTAGGTTAGAAAATATTATTTTTCTCCATTTCTTCATGTTTGAGGAGAAAGATGGTCAGATACTATCTGGAATTTTGCTGTCCAACAGTAGCTACTACTCAGCCACATTTCAAGTGCTCAAGAGCCATGTGAGCTAATGACTACTGTGCAGAACAACACATAAAAAATCATCATGGAACATCCTATCTGGTGGTGCTGGTCTGTAAAACGTCAATCGAATTAATTTAGACATGGTGCTGAGAACATACTACCATTAAACAAATATTAGATTTATATTCAGGATTTTTATGTTTGTGAATTTGTGGAGAGCCTGGTATATAAGCCCAATATCTGTTTCAAGCCATTTTCTGTAAAAATTTGGGGGGCTATCAAAGGAATATTCATTAACCAATGAATTTAGAGGAGAAAAAAGAATGCAAGTGAGCCAAACTTTGAAAGAGTTGGCATCCAAAATACAAAACTCAATATAAAGGAGGAAAACATAACATCACCAAGATTTCCTAGATTCGCAGTGGAAAACAGCAACATTCTCGCATGATTTATCTAATGAGGAAAAGTTTACCTTCTGAAAATACTGAGCCTTCTACTGCATGATCAGAATAAACCTCAATTTCTTTAGGTTTTCAGAAATAAAATGATTTTAATGTTTTAGAACTTTAATTCCCAGGATAGTTAACTTTTAATGTTATAAATGTTATGAATTCTAAATGTCTATGTATCATTGATTGTATACATGAATATATACATATAAATACAAATGATTGTGTATTGCAATACCATTCATTGTCCTTGCTAAATGTGTTTAAGTCTAATAGTTTATCAGTAAATTATTCTTAATTTTCTGCTGTCTTCCATTAATAATTCCTTTGCGATTCTAACATCTTCTATTTCTTTGTTTGCCTATTGTACTGGCTAGGACTTGCAATAACACATATAGACCGTTTTGTCTTTCTATTTATTTCAGATGGAAAACCTTAAAAGCTTTCATTTATGGAATTATTTTTAATTACAGATTTAATTTATCTAACAGATCAATACTTACGTTCTTTATTTCTGGTCCTGTCATTTTTATTAATAAATATGTTTCTAGAAATATGACCATTTCACACAGATTTTCAAATTTAATGGCCTAACCTTGTATCTGATATCCTCACATGATTTTTAATATCTGTTATTAATGTAGTGATACTACTTTTTAAATTTCTGATCTTGGTTATTTGAGCCTTCATTTTTTCTTGATAAATTTCACGAGAAATTTATCAGGTTCAATAATCCTTTCAAAGGATTTTGATTAATTCCCCCTACTTCATGTTTGTTTTTCTTTAATTTCTTATCTCTATTATTTACTTCAATGTAATTTCTCTGCTATATTCATACTTTCTTCCATTTTAAAATATAAATTTGGCCCATAAAATTCCCTCTACGAAACTTGTTTAAGCAAACAGAATCCAATAATATATAAAATGATAATAAATCATACCAGAAAGCTTTATTCTTGGAAAAAAACGGTAAGTTAAACATTTGAAAAATCTGTCAGTGCAAATAACCGCAATAACACAATAAAGAGAAAATAACGTGATCAGCTCTTAAGAAATGCAGAAAACTACATGACAAAATTCAGTATACATCCATAAGTACTCTTTATATTTAGGAAAATAATTTTTTTTTTACTAATCTAATAACATATATCTGCAAAATGACAGCTCAGGCGTGGAAATTAAAAAGCACCACTCATGGGCAGAAGGGTAGAGAATATACTATGAAAGGCTGGCCCAGCACAATACCGTACAAAACTGGGTGAAAAAAAGAAAGGGAAACAAAGAGCCACTGTGAGTTAACCAGAAAGAGAAAATAAAAGCCAAAGGGGACACAAAGGGGACAGTGGCTTATTAGGCCAGCATCAGGACCAATGAAGTCTGCAGCTTCTGCACAGTGGGAGGGGAGCCCTGCAATCCACAATAACCTAAGAGCTGAAAGGCGCTAAAGTGGCCTCAGATCAGAACCCTGCTCATGCCTCACTGGCGAAAAGCCTTTCCAACCTAAGCCCGTAAGAATTTCCAGAAAACAAAGAGCAGAAGGAATCAGGTCTTGTCAACACAACTAAATAAATAAGGCTTCCAGCAGTGACAGTCAAGAAACCCAGAAATAAAAATAATTTAAAAAATAAGACCCACAGACATAAAACGGAGTGAACAGACAAAGCCTTTATAAAATGTGTGAGATGGTTCAGAAATAAGATGAATTTTACACGGGAGCAATAAAAAAACGCGAGGATTATGATGCTTTCAATAGACATTATGAAAAAGCAACGAAATCAATGCGTATGAAAGAACACTGGAACAGATTACATTAAAAACCTCAAACGGCTGTGCTTCCTTCGCTCAGAAGAGCCGCGGAACGGCGAGGGGCCTAGCGCAGCAGAGCAGGGACAGCGCCGGAGCGGAGAGCGGGCCGCGATGCCGGCTGCGAACACAGGAGGAAGCCGGTCACCATTCCTGCCGGACCGACCGCGCGCCGACCCGGTGGACGACTGACGTTGCCCGCACAGGAAGTGTCCGCCGCGCCTGCCCAGAGAAGGAAGTAGGAACACAGGCACAGGAAGCAGGGAGCGGGGGAGAGGGAAAAAAGATGCACATCTTCTAGGGAGGAGCCCAGGAGCTGGCTGGCGGCCTCCGGGCCTCAAGCCCGAAAGGAAGAGATACCAGGGAAGTTCCGGCACCATCTGGGGGACAAGAATCTGCCATGGAAGAGCCTGCAGCTCCCACAGAGCCCCACGAGGCAGCTGGGGCCTCTGGGGGTGCCGAGGCAGCGGGGGAGGGCGTCCCCCGGCCCAGCGTCCCGGTGCGCCCAGCCTCCCGGTGGTCTTCGGCTCCAGGCCCGGCCCCCTTCCGCCCGTCACGTCTGAGGCCCGCCCAGGCCTCATGGGGAGGGGCTAGGCCCAGATGGCTGCAAGGCCGGAGCAGCGGCAGCTGGACAAAGCAAGTCGTCTGCAGGTATTATCTGCATGGGCTGTGCAAGGAGGGGGAGAACTGCCGATACTCCCACGATCTCTCGGGCCGGCAGGTGGCCAGCGAAGGCCACGGTTTGTTGCCCCAGGCCTCTGCAGACAGTGGCCCCAGCACGGCTGCGCAAATGGAGCCCCTGCCTCAGGAAGTGGCGGAAGCCCCCCCTGCTGCGTCCTCACGCTCCTTGCCTCTGATTGGCTCGGCTGCTGAAAGGGGTTTCTTTGAAGCTCAGACAGACAATGCAGGCCTTGAAGCTGCCGGAGGAGCAGGTGCAGAAGGCTGGGAGGGTGCCTTTGAGTTTGTTCCGGGGCAACCCTACCGGGGCCGCCTGGCCCCTTCTGTCTCCGAGGCTCCTCTGCAGAGCTCGGTGACTGAGAGGGAGCAGATTGCCTTGGGCATGGGGAAGCAGCTTTGCCGCGATGCTATCGTGGGGCAGTGCTTTCGTGGGCAGAGTTGTATCTATCTCCACGGAGATATATGTGATATGTGTGGGCTGCAGGTCTTGCACCCTGTGGACGGTGCCCAGAGGGCAGACCATGTAAAGGCCTGCATTGAAGCACACGAGAAGAATATGGAGCTCTCGTTTGCTGTGCAGCGCAGTGCGGACAAAGTGTGTGGCATCTGCATGGAGGTTGTCTATGAGAAAGCCAACCTGAATGATTGCCGCTTTGGCATTCTCTCCAGCTGCAACCACACCTACTGTCTTAAGTGTATCCGCAGGTGGAGGAGTGCCAGACAGTTTGGGAGCAGGGTCGTCAAGTCCTGCCCGCAGTGCAGGGTCATCTCCACCTTTGTCATTCCCAGTGAATTCTGGGTGGAGGAGGAGGAAGAGAAGCAGAAACTTATTCAGCAGTACTTGGAGGCAATGAGCCACAAGACCTGCAGGTATTTTGCTCGAGGCAGGGTCTGCCCATTTGGAGAGAACTGTTTTTACAGACATGCGTTCCCTGAGGGCCAGGGAGAGGAGCCTCAGAGGCAGGGTGCTGAGGCGTCCGGTACTTGCCGCGGTCAACGTTTCGAGCCTCTGCAGGTGGGAGAGGGCAGCATGCCCTTTAAAAGCAGTAAAAAAGAGCTTGTCATGCTTTGGCTGGCCAATCTGTTGTGTAAGTGTTTTCTTTCACTGGGAGCTAGTGAGCTCCCCTTCACAGAGGCCCTATGGGACTTGCGTCATTGTGAGCTGGAAGAATATTTCAATTTGAATCTGTGGCATTATGCTGTGGCATGTTGTCTGGTGTGCTGAAGCTCTGTCATCTGCTCTTGCCTGTGTTTTGTTTATAGACACATCTGTCACTTACAGGGGCTGCTGAAACCATTTGTATAGAGCATCCATCACTGTTTTCTTGCCCATTCCCATTTCTTGCTCCCCAGGATTATGGTGTTTCACTGTGTTAAAAAGTAACAAAACGTCCTTAAAGTTACTGTTTGGAGAAATTAATATGACTGTCAGTTTATGGTTTACTTTGTCATCTCTGTTTTCAACAGGATTGACTCAGTTCTAGTCTAGTGTTTACAGAATTTCCACACTCATTTTGAAGCCCCTCAAGAATAAATGTGACAGGGTGAAAGGAGAAGTCTTAACTGAACAAGGAGCTTTTTGCTACTTCAGTCTTAAGAAATGGACCCTCGTGGGGCTTTGTGGTGCAGCTTCAGCATCTCTGTTGTTTACACGTCTGTTCCTTCCCCTGTTCCCCTTCAAGTGCACTCTTTAACTTGTGGTTACCTTGTGGTTTTGTGTTTTACTTGACCAGAACCAGGTGCATATGTTTACATGTTTTTATCCTGTTTAGCTTGATGTGAAATTATTTATATTTGGAAGTATATATTTAAGAATTCTATATATACATACATATGCATATTAATGTGTATGAAAGTTATGTATTTGAAAATATATTTAAAAGGTGTATACCATAATATAATGTTTATTTAATAAAATAAATACAGAGCTGGAAGCTGAAGGTCAAAGGCTGATAGGATTTGGTGTTGTGTGAGTGTGAGGTACATGAATAATCATTCTGTCCCTTTCACAGCTTCAGTGATTAGCATCTAATGAAAACAGCTATTTGAGTGGCTCTATCCAAATGTGGTAGACATTTACAAAATACGACATTGGTAATTCCTGTGATGGCATTAATAGCTCATTGCTGTTATTAGTACAGAAATGTGAATTCCCGTGCAGTTCAGCCACCGTCTCATTGATCTTTATAACAGCACAGTCCTGGACTCAGATACACAGTTCTTTGTGTTCAATATTTTGTGTCATCTCTAGACATTCCAAAGAAGGGGCTTTTGACAAAAGTTTTCAACATAAAAGTGACAAGATTTTAAAAGATAAAGAACAATAAACCTTTTGAAATCAGTCAGAATGCAAGAATAGAAAGATAATAAATGAAATATAGAAAGTGACAAAAGCTAAATGCAATAGTGATTTGGAAAGTTTAAAACACAAATACACCGTAATTATATTAAATGGAATTGGTTTAAAAACTAAAACTCAAAGATTAGGAGACTTGATTAAAATTAAAATGAAACTATATGCTGTTTAAAAGACACACCTACAATAGAAGAATACAGAAACATTATAAGTAAAGGATGAAAAATTAATCAGAGGTGCTGTGACTTTTGAGCACAGATGGAGTTCACATTAAGGATAAATACATGGCTGGAGATAAATAAAGACGATATATAAACATGAAGTTATAATTTACCAGGAAGATAAAACTATTCCAATTTTAAGTTTGGTACCATAAGATTAGATATACAAATAAATAATTGATAAGAAAACTACAGAATCTTGGTAGACAATTTGAATACCTCTTCTCAGTAACTGAACAAGCAAAGAAAGAAAAAATGTGAGTTGAATAGCACAATTTTAATAGTTTACCTAATTGACCTGTATAAAATGCTGTATATCAACTGCAGAAAGCTCTCCTCCTGGCTAAGATAGCTGAAAGTATCCTAGGGGCATAAGTCACAGGAGATACAGACTTCCCTGACTGTGCAACAAAGACAGGGTGCATTTACAGCATTTATACTCTTCAAAACACTGATTTAATTCTCAAGACCACCTTATGAGGTACTTGCTATAATTTTTAGCACCGTCATGATGAGATAAATAAGATAGAGGGGTTAAATGACTTGCCCATATAGCCCTGACCCGTAGGCATGAACTAGTGGAACAGCGAATGGACCTCAGGTAGTATATTTCCAGAGCATAGGCAGCATGCTGCCCCTTGCCCCACGTGTATAACTGAGAGCAGGTGGACCCACTGAATATAGGTACTGGAAACACATGTGCAATATTTACATATGGAGGTTCAGCTGGGTGGGACAGAGATGGGCATAAATAAGCTACAGAATGTGGGAGCCCTGGCACTTTATCTGTGGGCTGCCAGACTCAGTATTTCTTAGTCCACTGCTCAGAATGTGCCTCAGCTGCCCATATTGGTACACTGCCTCTCCCTTCTTACATGATTCCTGATTCTGTGGGTAAGTATCAGCCTGTTTCACTGGGGTCCTTCCCCTCTAGATTCTTGATATCCAAATAATTCATCAGTCAAGAGGCCCCGGATGCCTGGCTGTTGCTGGCATGTAGGGTGAGTGAATCCAAATGAAATCCAAACATATTTCTACCCCCAGGCTTCCCTAGTCATGCAGGGGAAAGGGGGCTTAGATAACCAAACAACCAAAGAATAGGACCAGATGGGGCACTCTCAAAGACCACACTGACACCAGAGGCTCAAAACATGAGCACTGAGTGGTGGCGATGCTGTCAAGGACGGCATTTTAAACCAAGCACAGAAAGCTTTGAAAAGTTTGTCCTAATATGCACTACCTAATGTTGTGAAATATCACATTTCTATTCAAATAGTATCTTGAACCAAACAATCAAGATCGGGAGATAGTGTGTGACAAGGGTGTATAGAAGATAAAATGGTTTGGGAGACAGACAAAGGATGACTAGAATCCCAACTCTGCTTCTTACCAGCCCTGCAGTCAGGAGCAAGTTATTTAAGTTTCCTATACCTCAGTTTCTTTATATGAGAAATGGGTATAACACCACCTATTTTGCAGGGTTGTTGTGAGGATCAAATATAACCTGGACAAAGCTTGAAACATAGGTGGTATTTTTAAAACAGCATGTATAAAAGTGGTATTTATGTGTGTTTGTAAAACTGAGAAAAGCTTGCACAAGAATTAAAACTCCACCAAGTTTTTCTCTTTGGGAAACTTTGGAACTTGTGTTAAGGTAACATTATTATTTTATGATTATTTTCTTAGGAAGTAGGAACATTACCTTTATGTTCATAATTTCAAAAAGACCAAGCAATTTTTTTTGGCAAAAGTCAGTTAAAACTAAAAATGTGCTATTCAATTCCTGAAAATATAACAAACAAGAAAAAAACAAATCATATTATTTGTGACAGATGCCTACATGAGGAAAATAAGTAAGATGATATTTTTAAAAAATGGGATTCCCTTTTCCCTCATCAGCTCATTCAGAGAGAGATCGAATAACAGGGATGTCAGTACATCCAAAGCTGGGTGAAGTGTCCGAAGGGCCTGCCCATAAGGACAGCTGAGCCACCCCCGCTGCAGTCAGGAACAAAGGAGCCCTTGCCATACAAAGCTTTGCTCTGTGAGTGATTCAGAATGTATGCTGCCCCTCCTCCAGGAGACTCATGTATTCAGACCCTGGGGCTCGTGCCATATATAGAGTGTCATTCTAACCAGACAAAGAATGCCTGGGTGAAGCAAATCTGATTTTCTTATTCTTCATGTATCTAAATTCGGTGGATGTAAAGACTTACAAATATGCTAAAAATTTACCTAGTACTCCTTCACTAAATCCGTTTACTGAATATCAGTGACTTAAAGGCAGAGATTTCCAGTTCATAATTATGTCTATATGGTGTTCCATTTTTCACTTTTGTGAACATCACGGGGGTGTGGTTTCTGTTTCCACAGCAAATGCTAAACTACAGCCTAAGTGTGGAATGAAGTTTGGGTGGGGATGGAAAAAGGGATGTTTGGAAAATAACCCAACACTAGTGCAAAGAAATAAATTAATACATGTCAGAATTTTGCCATTAAAAATTATAGCATATCACATTTTCCAGTGTTGATCACTAACAAAAAATAATTGACTATGTATTAGATCACAGTGAAACTTTCAAATGAGAAATTAGTAGTACAGGCAACATTCTCTGATGTCAATACAAGAAAATAAACCACTACCACATGAAAATTCTTTTAAATATCTCTCTCAAAAAAATTTTGATGAAAGAGTGAATTCAAAATCTTCCAGAAGGATAGAATAAGGTAATGAAAATTTATATATACCATAATCTATAGGATAGTGCTGAATCTGTGCTCAGAGTAAAACTAATCTTAATATTAATATATAGTATCTAGAAAGACAAATTACATAATTAAATAGATATCCAAATCTGTAAATTTTAAAGAAACTACAACATTCAGACACACACACACACACACACACACACACACTGGGAAGCAGAAAGAATTAAGAAAGATTAAAGCAAAAATTAGTGGATCATAAAATGCAGATGTAAAAAGCTGCTTTTTAAAAAAAATCGATATACAGATAAACCACTAATGTAATCACAAATAAAGGTAGAAGTGCAATTAAACAAAATAGGAAACAATGAGTAGGAAGTAATCAGAGAAAAGAAGACACCAAAGAAATGGGAGATAAACCCTTGTTACACTGAGGCAAGTGCACTTGGAAATGTGATAGGAATTTAAATTTTTCAAAGTAATTTTCCAAACAACAATCTAAAATACAAAGTAAATCAAACCAAACCAATTGCTAATGAAAAATTAAAGAAAGTTATCAGGAATGTACTTATGTTCCTGACTGCCCAAAAAAGAGAAGAACAGAAGACATTTGTCCCAGAAATTTACTAAAAGCTTGAAATAGATTGCAATGATATATATATAAACCATTCCAGAGAAGAGAAGAAAGGGGACACTTACAAAACGTATGAATGACACCTAACATTGGTATCAAAATGTTTCCAATACAGTACAATACAAAGTTAATTAGAGCCCAATCTCATTTGTGAATATTGATGTCAAAAAATCTCAAATGAAAAATTAACAAAAAAATAGCACAGTAGAAGAAGAGTACATCAGGAAAGAGTAGGTTATATTCCAGGTAACAGGATGGTAGAACATGAGAAAATATTTTTATCTTAATACATCGAAAGAAATAATGATTTTAGCATCTTTGTATATCTGAAAAAACACTAAATTCATGATGTATATAATTTTATGTACAATACAGGTGTATGAGGTATGTTAACTATATATGTATATGTGTACATGTATATAGTATACATCTATAATTTTTAAATGCACAGTCACAAAAGCATATAACTAAAGAAAGCAAAGGAGATGAAAACAATAAATAATAGAGAAAATTTAAATATTAAGACTGATTTGATTTTTTAAAAAATTATAAAATAGATAAACCATTATCCAACTTAAGAAAACGAAAAAAGAGAAACAAAGTGCCCATACACAGTTGCACACACATTCACCTAATAGGGGTTCACCACAAAGAGAGATTCTATTAAAGAAACATAAGAAAGAACATTACTCAATCAGATGCCAATTAATTGCAAAATTTGAAAGAAATTGATAATTTTCTAGGCACATGTAATTAATTAAACAGTAGCTTCACAAAATATAACCTACCATTTAACATGAATAAATTATTTCACAGAATACAGTTTCCCCTAAAAACAGGGATTTTCATAAACCTTTAAAGAACAAATAATTTCAGTGCCATTTTACACAATTTGGAAATTATTATCAAATGGAAAATGGAAAGTAGGACAACTTATGTGGTTTTATTTTGTTTTGTTATTTTTTTCAGCTTTACTGAGATATAATTGACATAAAATTGTGTAAGTTTAAGTTGTAAAATGTATGATTTGATATATGTATATATTGCAAAATGATTGCCACAATAAGTTTAGTTAATATCCATCACCTCACATAGTTACAATTGTGTGTGTGTGTGGTGAGAACTTTTAAAATCAACTGTTTTAGTCACTTTAAAATATACAATACAGTAGTATTAACTATAGTCACTATGCTGTACATTACATCCCCGGAATCTATTTATCTTATAACTGGAAATTTGTACCCTTTGACGACCGTCATCCATTTCCCCCACCTTCCACTCCCCTATCCTGGCAGCCACCAGTCTCCTCCCTCTTTCTATGAGTTTGTTTTTTTTTCAGATTCCACCTATGAATGAGATCATATAGCATTTGTCTTTCTCTGTCTAATTTATTTCACATAGCATAATGCCTCAGGGATCATCCATGGTGTTGCAAATGGCAGGATTTCCTTCCTGTTTATGGCTGTATGATATTCCATTGTATGATGCATAATTTATACCAAATTATTTCATGGTACTGTGTAGTACACATGCACATTTACACACAAATGATTAAGTGATTTATTGAAATATGGTTTATTTATGAAAATCATTTCATAATATGAAATATGATTTATCATGAAAAATACAAAATTTAAAATTAGTAAAAACCAGAATAAAAAAAGTATTTCAGCATTTTTATTCTTTTAATAAGGCAAAGGAATATAATCATAAAATTAGCTCCTGTGATCAGGCAAAAACAAGTAGACCCCACCCCTGCACTGCCAGTTAGTGTTATTTTGATAACCAGTGCAGTTGCATGCAAAATAAAACAAATGAGGCATACAAAACTTTCAAAGAAGGATGTAAATTTATCTCTCTGAGGTAATATAATATTTTGTGTTGAAAATCCAAAACTATCTGGAAAACTTAAAAAAAATTCAGTAAGATGCTAACAAAAATTAATGTGTTTCACATATAAAGATATAGAAAATTTAATGGACACATTTTCTATGGAAACAGTACTTTAAAGTCTATAGAAATAAGTAACAATAAATCTGAAAAAGCTACGAAAAGAAACACTTTAACAAGATAAGCAATTATTCTTAAAGAATACTTGAAGTGAAAATGTATACCATGGAATTTGATAGGAAAAATCATCATATTAATGTGTCAGTTCTTTAAGTTCATTTATGTACTTGACAAAATCCTAATAAATTACTCCTTTGGATTGAATGTTTGTGCCCCCCCATTCATATGTTGAACCCCTAATCCCCAATGTGGTGGTATTTGGAGGTAATTTGGTCATGAGGTAATTTGGTCGATTACCATGAGGTAATTTGGTCATTCCTCGAGAATGGGATTAGTGCCTTAATAAGAAGAGACATAAGAGAGATGGTTACTCTCTCACCACAACATGAAGATACAGCTAGAACGTGGCCGTCCGCAAACCAGGAAAAGAGCCTCACCAAGAACCCAACCTTGCTGGTACCTCGACTTCAACCTCCAGAACTGTGAGAAATAAAGGCTTGTTGTTTAAGCCACCCAGTCCGTGGTATTCTATAGTAGGCTCTACTGAGAAAGACAGAAATGGGGGGGTAGTGAGAAGTGGGTGCTTCTGTAACAAATACCTAAAAATGTGGAAGTCGTTTTGGAACTGGTAATAGGTAGAGGTTGGAAGAGTCTTGAGGTGCCTGCTAGAAAAATTGATACTGCTGTGGAGGCTTTTAAAAGTAACTGGTGAGGGCTCAGAAAGGAAGGCAGAGATATACAGGGAATACACACAAAAAGTCATATACAGAATATTGGTAGAAATAAGGATGGTAATAGCCATTCTGATGAGATCTCAGGCAGAAATAAGGAATATGTTACTGACAACAGAAAATGTAGCCCTTGTTATGAAGTGGCAAATAAAACCTGTGAGCAGTGAAATGGACATTTAGCCAAAGATATTTGTTACCAAAGTGTTGAAGGAGTAGCTTGGTTCCCCCTGACTGTTCATAGTAAAATATGAGCAGAGAGAAATGAAGACAGCATTGATAGGGAAAAGGGAAACAATATACAGATTTTGGAAATTCTCAGCCTGTTCATATTACAAAAAAACAAGGAAGCTCCTTCAGAAGAGCAAACTTGGGGTGTGGCAAACCAACCAGTTGATGAGATTAGTGTGGGTGTGTATCGCCAGCCTAACCTGCTGCCCCAGCAGGAACAATGCCAGTTTGAACCTAAGGGGGCAGAGATGAGACAGAATGAAGCCTGTCAGACTTCCTGGATTTGACAGGCAGGACCATAAGAACTGTTTGGCTCTGAACATGCTCTGTTCTTCAAGACAGGGGAAGATGACCCCAAAGCCTATTCAGAAATCAGGGCCACCTCTTCAATTTCAACAGGCCCAAACAGACTAAGACAAGTAAAAATAGATCATATATAGCTTAAATAAATAAGCACATACATGTGTACATACATAGGTAAGTCTGTGAAAGTTCATATGAAGGAAAAAAAACAGTACAGCTTGAATATTTTAGAATTGAAATATAAGTAACCATTAAACCCTACCAGATACTAAAACATAGTATCATATGCCAGCAGTGTGAAAAGTGAGGTATTGGCACTTTAATTGTGAGATCAAAGACGTATATAAAAAAGGTCCAGAAATGGACACAGACACATATAGGAATTGAATTTATGAAAAAAGATTAAAACAAAAATAACTTGAATTATTAAATAAAAATCGTTGGATAAGCTCTGGAGTCACCTTTAAAACTAATGCATTGGCTCCAAATATCATACTTTATATACAGTGTAAATTCTACTTACATCAAAGTTTCAAATGTAAATATGAAACCAAAAATGTACAGAAACGACATAGGATTTTTTTCTTTTAAAGTCCTAGAGTCAAAAATGCCTTTCTATGACATGACTGACAGAAGTCTTAAAGGAAATTTTGACAATAACTGTAGCAACTGTGCAGAGCTTACTATGTTCCAGTTTCTTTTCTAAGATACATTATCTCATTTAATCCTTCCAGCCATCCTAAGATAAGTCATAGTGTTATCCCCTTGTAGGGAGGTTAAGAGATATGCCCATGATGAAGTGATTCCAAGGCCCATCCTCTCACCACTGCACTACCTCACAAATGTGACCACCTTGAAATGAGCCTAACAAATTTCACATGAGCTAGACCAGAAGAAAGTATCAACCTACCAAAAAAAGGAAATCATAAAACAGGGCAGATGCTTATTTCCATACATTATAAAGTGATCCAATAAAACAAAAGACAAACAATATAATGAAGAAATTAATAAAAGTATGATGAGACCTTGCACAGAAAACAAACTGCAAATAGATTTAAAGATAGGAAAAGTTGTTAAACATCACCAATAATAATGTTTAAGTTTTCTCCTTTCAAATTATCAAATACACAAACATTTGAAAGCACACTGGTGACAGTTGGGGAAATAGTTACCTTCATGTATTGCTTGTAGGAGTGTAATTGGTACACTTTCCATAGAGGAAAACTTGATACTATCAAATCATAAATTTACATATGCATACTTCTTGACCAGTCATTCTATTTATTTAAATGTGACTTACATGTATATTCTACATGTATGTGAAATAATTCAAATACCAGGATGTTAATTGCAGCCTTTGTTATAACAGTATAAGATTGGAAATGCCTAAAAAATCCAACAGTAGGCAACTGGTTAAAAAATAGCAGAGACAAACAGTGGAATATTATGAAGTCACATTTAAAAAGTGAACAAACAAAAAAGCAGAAGGAAATTTGCATGGGCTGACCTGTAAATGTATAGTGGTAAGCAGGAATTAAATGTGCAGAAGTTTACGAAATTATATCACTTGTATGTAAAGGCAGCAATAATTATATATAGTGTCTTTGCTTATATATATATAGTTATATTTGGTGTGTTTGATTATATGTACATAAAAGTCTCCTGAGAAATCATTTGTGAAAGAATATAAGTTTTTTTTTTAAAAATAATGTATCTATAGATATACATACATATACATACATGTGTGTAAAATATATATAATTAAATATGAACACAGGAGAAAATGTATACATATATAGGTATGTATGTAAAATAAAATAAATGTAGACCTGAAAATTGAATGTCAGTGGTTAGTACATTTGGTTCCTTTATGAGTGTGGGTTGTGTGGAGAAAAGATGCAAAGATATGATTGATTAGACTCCACGAGAAAAATTGTTTAAACGGTTTCAGCCAAATACAGCACACTCTCATTGTAAGGACCCAGCAATGACTATTATCACTAGTCACTATGGCAACAGAGCTGACTCTCAGGGATCCCACAGATGTAGACACACATTCACTAATAAGGCTTGGTACTATCTACTATTGCCATGTGATAATTCAGTCTGTGACTCATGCACAGGTCTTTATACTCAATATTCTGTATTCTCCTGATTCTCAATGAGATGTTTTTTTTAAAAAATAATGAAATAGTAGCTAAAAGGTGAAAAAAGGAGAATACAAATAATAAATTTATAAAAAGGTAAGAAAGAAGAGAAAATTGACATAGAACAAGCAAGAAAAATAGAAAGTAAACTGTAATATTGGAAATTAAACACAAGTAATGCAGAGGAAAGATTTCCTAGATTTATATCAAAGTTAATTTTAAGGCAAAGGTGTTAGTAGAAAAGGTGAGAAAATTTCAATGCTTTGGGAAGTTAAAAGCAAATTAAATTTGTATTCATGTGATTACATAGCCTCAGAAAATACAAAGACAAAAGAACCAATAGGGGAAATACAGGAATCCACAAGCTTAGTAGATATTTTTAACACATCTTAATCAGTCACTTATTTAAAAAGAAATAAGGATAAACTAGATTTAAATAGCAATGAACACTATGGACTTAATTGTCACATTTAGGATCCTATAGTCATAAAATTAAAAAATTAATTTCTCATGTATGGATAGCAGATAAAAAAGGAAGATGCCTGGCCAGAAGCCTTGACCCA